CATTCTATCATGTAAATCATAGCAAGATCCTTTTTGACCCACCTCCTAGAGAAATGGAAATAAAAATAAACAAATGGGACCTAATGAAACTTCAAAGCTTTTGCACAGTAAAGGAAGCCATAAATAAGACAAAAAGACAACCCCCACAATGGGAGAAAATATTTGCAAATGAAGCAACTGACAAAGGTTTAATCTCCAAAATATATAAGCAGCTCAATATCAAAAAAACAAACTACTCAATCCAACAATGGGTAGAAAACCTAAATAGACATTTCTCCAAAGAAGATACACAAAGTGCCAACAAACACATGAAAGGATGCTCAACATCACTAATCATTAGAGAAATGCAAATCAAAATTACACTGCGGTATCAGCTCACACCACTCAGAATGCCCATCATCAAAAAACCTACAAACAATAAATGCTGGAGAGGGTGTGGAGAAAAGGGAACCCTCTTGCACTGTTGGTGGGAATGTAAATTGATACAGTCACTATGGAGAACAGTATGGAGGTTCCTTAAAATACTAAAAATAGAACTACCATATGACCCAGCAATCCCACTACTGGGCATGTACCCTGAAAAAACCATAATTCAAAGAGTCATGTACCACAATGTTCATTGCAGCTCTATTTACAATAGCCAGGACATGGGAGCAACCTAAGTGTGCATCGGCAGATGAATGGATAAAGAAGATGTGGCACACATATACAATGGAATATTACTCAGCCATAAAGAGAAACGAAATAGAGTTATTTGTAGTGAGGTGGATGGACGTAGAGTCTGTCATAGAGAGTGAAGTAAGTCAGAAAGAGAAAAACAAATACCGTATGCTAACACATATATATGGAATCTAAAAAAAAAAAAAAAAAAAGGTTCTGAGGAACCTAGTGGCAGGACAGGAATAAAGACGCAAACGTAGAGAATGGACTTGAGGACACGGGGAGCGGGAAGGGTAAGCTGGGACAAAGTGAGAGAGTAGCATGGACATATATACACTACGAAATGTAAAATAGATAGCTAGTGGGAAGTAGCCACATAGCACAGGGATATCAGCTCGGTGCTCTGTAACCACCTAGAGGGGTGGGATAGGGAGGGTGGGAGGGAGACGCAAGACGGAGGAGATATGGGGATATATGCATACATATAGCTGATTCACTTTGTTATACAGCAGCAACTAACACAACATTGTAAAGTAATTATATTCCTATAAAGATGTTAAAAATGTATATGATATGTATTTATCTTACATAGAGATTAAAATGACATGATTTGCAACAGGAAACCAAGTGACTATAACCAGAGTTTGTCTAAAGATCCAGTTCTATGCAAGATGCTATTAAAGTGTCTCAGGGAATTTAACCTTGACTTTGACAAGCATACTTCTAATGTGATGGAACACTCTGCACTTTTGTAAGTATCTTGAAGAAGGTGAACACTGCAAACCTTTGTCTTTATGACATCTTATTTGAGAACAGGGCAAATTATCAAACAGATTTTCCCATGAACCCAAATTCAGAATGTTACTGGACCCTGAGAATCCCTTCCCTTAAGACAGGGAGAAGTTGGACACATTTTAAATCCTTGTGCATCATCAGTTCATAAGTTAAGCTGAATTAAGAAATGGCAGCAGGAAACATGATGACATGTAAAATATATCAGCAGCGTTTATCAGAAACTGTATATTTGTGAGAAAAATAGCAGTTTAGCTCCCAAATAAATCGAGATAAGTGAAATGTTCATAAATGTTAACCTAAACCAGACAATCTGAAATTTGGCTAGATTAAGAAGCTGTGGGACTTCCCTGGTGTTCCAGTGGCTGAGAATCCATCTTGCAATGCAGGGGATGCTGGTTCCATCCCTGGTCGGGGAACTAAGATTCCCACATGCTGCGGGACAACTAAGCCTGCGCACCACAACTAGGGAGCCCGTGAACCACAACTACAGAGCCCGCGTGCCACAGCTACAGAGGCCAAGAGCTCTGGAGCCCGCGCGACACAACTAGAGAGGAGCCCATGCACCGCAACAAAAAATCCCACATGCCGCAAATAAGACCTGACACAGCAAGTAAATAAATAAATATTTTTTTTAAAAAGAAGCTGTATAATTAACTACATTTCTCTTCTGGCCCACAGATAAAGATCAATGCAAGTTTTGAGAGGGTCTGCACTCAGGCCAATTTGCACAAATCCAAATGTTAAACAATATATGAATAGTCTCCTGTAACAATTACAACTTTCTCCCTTCCCATTTCTCCACCCCAAATTATTCTTAGGTAGGCCAGGTCTTTCCGCTTTTAATCAAAACAAATGATTCTTTAAAGAAAGAGCTACACTATGAGTTTTCATATAGTCCAATGTTTATAACTAGTATTTTCTGTCTGTTTTTAAATTTTTCAATGATTTTTTTCAAATAAGAAATGCCATTTAACTGCCTTTGCAAATGTCCATGGGACTTGGTTAGTCACGTTTTATGTCACGTAAGATTCAGCAAAGAGCTGTCTTATGATGCTTCTTTTATTAAGGCAATAGTCATTTTATCATTATTAAGGCAATATAAATTTTAAAACAAATTCCTCTATTTTAAGAAAATGTATTGATTACCCTCAGCTTTGGACCTTCTTTTTCCTTTATACTTAGCTGAAACTAGACTATGAAATAGAAAGTGATTAAGGGTAGAGATAAACAGAGACAGTGTACTTTTATAGCATTTTTCTTATTCAAAAATAAAAATCACCACAAGAAAAGAGAAGTGGGAAATGGTATTAATCCCATGGTACCTGGCACTTCCATACCAACACACATGTTTGTTGAGCTGACTTAGCCAAATACTAGAAACCCAGATGTCAAGGAGAAGTAGGCAGATTGAGCCCTAAATATACTTGGACAAGATAATTTCCATTTTCCTAAATCTAATTACTTGAACACTGTTATGAGATCAGATCATAAACGCTGTATCTGTTACAGGAAATGAATGGAAATACTGCATGCATAGTAGTAGACAGTCAGCAAATACTAGTGAAATTGAATTAATAATAATATTCAAAAGCTTAGTCTTAGCAGGGTAAAAACTCAGTACAAATAAAATTGGGAAGTTCCATGATCATCATTGTCGAATGTATTTTTATAAAGGACTGAGATTCTCCCTTTAAAAACTGCTGTACCGGCACTAAGAATAGCATCAAGATTTATATAATGCATAAGGCTTATTCAAGGCATCCACAGAGAGTCAGCAAAGTAACAGCAACAATAAGGAGAGTATGAACTCTTCGTCGCATTAAGGAATGATGTTAAATTGGGCAGAGCGAGAATTTTAATGAAAATAAAAATGTACTCACAATAAAAAATGTCCTTAAATGAGGTTGCTTTCTGTTTTCAATCTGTTAATTTTCTACAATGTTCTGTGACATACAAAGACTGTAGTAAATCAGATCAGACAAGAGCACATTTAATCTGTAGGGTCTTCCAACATATGCAAAGTGAGGCAATTATCCATAGTGACAATGACTGAATGATCAAGACTCCTCATTAGAATAATATGCCACGTGTGTTAGAGTACCTGGTTGAAGTAATATTTCACTTTGCTCAGATCTCTGTTTCTTCCACAAAGCAGATGAGTTTATAAAGTCCCAGACAATTTTGTTACCTGAGTGGCACCATCTCTCACATGTGTACCCTTTAGAATGAAATAAATGTGTACTCAGAGGTACCCACTACCACTCATGGCCGGCTGGCAAAGGTTCTATTATATTAAAAGAGCATTGAATCAACAACAGGAATAAAATATATATACAATGCTCCTTGATGCCTATCACCTGGCTAGACAGTTATGAAATATGAACTGAGTTATTCTAGGGAGGAAAGAAAAAAGATCTAACTTAGTTCTTTAATCTCTCCCTCTTCATCCTTCAAGTCTCAGAAGTGGTACTCTCTCCTTCAAGAAGCAAACTTCTTCCCCCAGTTTGGATCGGGAAGCCCTCCCTTGTACTCCAAAGTATTGCATGTTTCCCTCATATAATCAGAGCACTTAACACTCTGTCTCCCTTCAGTAGACACAAGAGTTCAATGGGGACAAGGACTTCGACATTTTTTAAAATCATAATATTCATAAGAACCTGTATAAGGCCAAGTCCATGTTAGAGAGTTAGGAAATGTTTACTGAGGTGATGAAGAGACCAAGCTAGGAAATTATATTCGTCCCTCTTCTTTCATGAGTAGAGAAATTACAGGCCATGTATACCCTCATTCATTCATTCATTGAGTTTCAGTGATATAGTAGACACTATGCAAAATGCTAGAGATATTACAGTAAAGCAGTAAGCTTAAAAATTTCAGTACAATTTAATAAATGTTGCTAAAGGTAAAAATATATGAGTCAACAAAGGTGGAGAAATATTGTACAGCTTATCAGAGAGGGCTTCCCAGGAGGTCACATTTGAGTTGGGTTGTGAAAGATGAGCAAGCACGGAGGAGGGAAGACAGACTTCTGGGCAGAGGGTCATGAGAAAACATGGCCTGTTCAAGAAATGACAGAAACCAAGGTTGGCAAGATAGAAGCAGCTTATGCTGTGCTAAGTAATCTGGAATCTGGGCTTTATCTTTAGTGGAATGGGAACCAACCAAGACTTTTAAGCAGAGGAGTGATGTTATCAGATCTAGTTAGACATAAGGTTCTACAATTAGCATGGAAGAGAATGGATACATTTAATGAAGTTTGAGGGACTAAGGACAAGGAGGTGGAGACTCAGGTGGGAACCACTGACCTAAATGATCATTAGCTAAATCAAATGGAAGAGAAAGTAAAATTAAACAAGATGAACATTTCCTTTCCCTGGGATGCTTCTACTCTACTTCTCTTGTAGAAGTTGTCAAATTCTTGGGAAAATAAATCGTACTTTTCTTTGAAGTCTAATCTTTAAATAACAACATTCTTATTGTCTTATAGTCATAATAATTTAGTAAGAGTAAGTAAATAATGTTGCAGACTGAAGGACTTTCCATACCTGAGACGCTTTGCCTGTTGGAATCTGAGTCCCCATTACTGGAGTTAGAATTGTTGGAGGAGTTGTTGTCAACCCCTCCCAGAAGGGGGCGCAAGTGGCTTACTGAGACTTGTTCAATGAATGATGTTCCATATTTGCGAAAATACCACCATTCAAATATCTAGAACAGAAAGATAATAAGCGTGATTAGGGTCCTTGTTACCAGCTATGATTTTGTACATGCCCATAACTGTGTTGCACTTACTAATTATACCCACCTTAAACACTGGTTTAAACATTTTTATTCCAAAAAAATGGTTTATTTCTAAAAATTAAGAAGTTTGATAAAAGTAAATACCAATTACATTTTAACTTCTCAATGATGTTTTTTCCACTTAATACTGGTTTTTAAGGAAAATTTATAGCTACAATCCTGGTGAAAGAACATTGTTAAGAGCTGCTCATTATTTTCCTCCAAATTTACATAATATTCTGATAATAAAATCACCATAGCTAAAAAACAATTCCAGAAATGAATACCAACAAGCCAGTTTTAGAAGTATGGCTTATGAAATATTCCAATTCTTGGCATCTTATATTCTGATAAAGTCATAACTGTATACATTTTTAAGATAGTAAAATTCTGTTTTAAAAAAAGCATCTCCCTAGAGAAATCCGGCTTTACAGAAAGAATAAAAGCCATCCTATTTCATGTATCGAGGGCACCCAACTGCTGAGAGATTCAGTAGCATCCCACCTGCTGAGTGTGCTTTGTAAATGCTAGCATCTGTTGTACACCATTAATGTTTCCTAGCTCACAAGCTTACCAGTTGTTATGTGCTGTTTGCAAGGAAGAAAAGAAATAACTTTCATTAATAGAAGGAAAGAAGCACCGAAGCTCACATGACTAGACTGAAATCAGGGCTCCTGAGCATGGGGAAAGCCAGCCACCTCCCCCAATCTTTTTACCTGCCCCTACCCCCAAAGCCCCTCTGAGCACTTTCCCACCACTGTTTGAAGCTGCTCTCCCCACATCCTTTCCTTGGCTTCCCTGATTTGAGATTTGTTCCTTAAGCAGTCACAAATCACTACACAGAAGAAATTTAAGAATCAACTATATCCCAGAGTCTCCTAGGATAACTATACTATATTTTTGTAATAGAATATGGAAATAACATAGACTTAATTACCTTTATCCTTACTTATTTCATAAAAACAAGATTTTGTTATCTTCTGTGGAATGGACTTCGGGCTATCATTTAAAAATTGATGTTTTGCTCTACCAAAAATTTCTTTAAAAGGACAGAAAGAACATCTACAAATGACCAGAAGGAACTGTTAATCAAACCAAATGTTTGCAATCCTATAACAGGAAAACTCGATTTAACTCCAAGGGGTTATTCCTTTTGACTATATGAATTTTCACATGTTAAAACATTTAAGTAATTTGACTGAGAAGACAGGGAGAATACAATATGAAAGCTAAGAACGGATAGGACCAGTCTGTAACATCTGGAATGCTAGGAATAAAAGATCTTGCTTGAAGAAAGCAGAAAGTTCAAGAATGGCAAATTTACTGACCATGGATCTAGAAGGGAATTTGTAACCTCAAGTGAGTTATTTAATCTATTTTAACATCAGTTTTTTCAACTGTAAAGTGGAAATCATATTTGTTATTTACCCTTGAGGGTCCTCAATTTCACACTCATGTAAAACATCTAGATTCAAACCCCACGTAAAAGACCTAGTTCAGTGCCTTCTGCATAGTTGGTTCCCAAAAGCAATAGCAAAGCTATCATTTATTACATCGATGCTGTACATAGCACACCTCACATACTGCTGTGGTGCATCCCTCTTCTTGCTGGTCTACAATTCAGGATAGTACAGCATCTTGCTACTAAATGGTTGGCTGAGAGCCGTGGTAATCATTGTGAAAAAGGAGACAGCTCACCATTTGGTCCTGACCACCCAAAAAAGATTCATGGCTTTGCCTTTATTAGAAGAGATGGAAGGCTCCAAAGGACCCAGAACAATGGTCACAGAACTGGCAATGGCTCTCAAACACTTGTGGGGTAGAGTTTTCTTTGCCCCAAGTCTTTACTCTGCTTTCTATTTTATGCTGTTAAGGCATCTGCCAGTCCTTCATTCATTCATTTACACAGCACTAAATGCTCCAATCCAGGCATGGGCTGTGCTCCAGGGCCACAGAACACAGATGTAGCCCCTGCTACTACCAGTGCCTGCCACAGACCCACAATGCCTCTCACAAGTTGCTCCCATTCACCCCCCCCCCCAAAAGAAACCACTTTGGGACTCTTTCAGATTTCTCAGTTTCTCCAGCAGAATCGGAGAACGTCAGCACTAAAAGGGACCCTAAAGGACCCTGAACAGTTTCATTTAGAGATGAGGAATGAGGGCTACATGTCAAGGTGTGGTGACCTGACCAGAGTCACATAGCTAATGAAGTAGCTATTCAGCCTGAAGCCCCAGCTCTTGAGCCACTAATCTTACTAGGGCCCTAAAACAAGACATCTTTTTATAACTCTCTTGCTCATTTAAACAGACAGATGTAGCCTATCGCTTCCCTTTTAAAATCTTCACTTTCAAATGCCCTCCAACTCCACTGTCTCTTTTTGCTTTCTTAGCTATCAAAACTAATCCAGAAGTAGTCTATCAAATGGGACTGGATAATACATCCTAAGGTATAAATGATTCATATTAATGGGGTATTTGCATTATAACAGGAGACAGACCTTCCACCCAGTATTTCTAATGCAAAAATAACAGACCTCAGTAAAGACTGGGTTATTCATGCAGCTGCTTGGGAGGCAAAGGAGGGTCTTCTCAAGCCTGACCTATCAGAGCAGTAGATGGCTTCTTTCCTAACACAGTCCTTTATACTAGTGTCCACAATGCCCTGGGGTTGACACTCTAATATGAATTAAATAAACAACTACTAAAACGAAGTAGGAAAGGACTTGAAGCCTTCTTAAACTTCAAACCAAATCTTCTAATCTGGGGTCTTAGCATAATAATCTGTCCCATATCCTGAAACATGACAGGATTTGGGCCAGAACCTCACAGTATTTTTAAAGAGCTGCACAGATCCAAATGGGCAGATGGTGTTATTTAACACGCACATATTTGGTGTCACTTTGAATTATTCTCCCTGGTGCATAACCTACAGTGTAAATAGCAAAGCTCTCATAAACAAATTTAGATTTTAAAACTAGCCCTTAGACATGCTAGTAGCTTAATGGAGTTGCCACAGTGGAACAAAACAGTTTTTAATCTGACAAATAACCATAAAATTAAAACATAAATTTACACATTTCACAGTTTTTAAAAGTGTAATCTCTCTACCCTAAGAATCATACAGATCAAGTAAGATGAGAACTAAAAAGCATCAAGTAGGTTTGTCATTCAGGAAGTCAACAATGACCCTACCATCTAGCTGAAAGGTAAAGGCCCTAAAATATTTCATAATAGCTGAGTTGTACGTCTTGGTTGGTACTCTTGATTCTCTGGGGCTCAGTTGCATAATGTGTAAAATAAGGTCACTCAGTTAATGTTGGATGGGTGGATGGATGGATGGATGGATGGATGGAAGGATGGATGGTTTAAAGACTGAATGGATAGATGGCTAAAAGGTTGAACGGATGGATGATAAGGGCTGGCCTGGTGATTTAATGGGATATTGTTTAAAACCAATGAAAGGTTTTGTGTACATTTTGTTTGTTATAAAAAAAAAGAGAGACCTATACCTATTTGTGGAAGAGGAAAGAATCTAGTAGAAAGAGAGAAACCGAAGTGCAAAAGCGTACAAATGACCAAGAGACATGACACCAGGAGCCCAGGAAGAACATTTACCCTGCCTTAAAAAGGTACCTTACCATTTCTTGCTCTAAAGACGAAAGGGAAGCAGGAATGAACAGAAGAATACATTCTATTTTGGAAAGTAGGGTGTGAGATGAGCTGTTTTACAGGTAAGAAGGCAACAAATGAATAAAATGTAGATGACACTGATCTCAGTGGAGATGCAGGTAAGGGTTATTATCTGAGAATAAAGGAAGCAGGGATGGAATTGGGAATGTGAGGGTCAAAGAAATGGTTTGGATCTATACCTTGCAGGACAGAAGGGCCATACGCTATACTCAGGACCCAGATCATATTTAAAACAAAGATTCATTTGTCAAGAACGCAGTTACCTAGCCTCGTAACCCTCTCCATTACTATATGACAGAAGCAGAGGGGATGATCAAGGAGCAATGGGGCTGTGGGCTGGGAGTGGAGATCCAGGTTTGCAGCTGGCCTAAGGGTGTAAATTTATCTCATCTTCACCTGCAGGGAAGGAACAAAAATCTGGCAAAGGGTTAACAAACAAGGCGCTTCCATCTGTCTAACAGACCTAAAAGCTGAACCTTTCATAAAGATGCCTAGATTCTTCCTATCCAACAAGACCTCCCCTTCTTGAATTGCATGTTCTATATATAAAACACTTCTCTCTCCTGTATCCTATAACATACTCAAAACTGCTTCAAGATTTCCACATAGCAGCACCATTGTAATTCCACAATGTAATTCCATTAAACCCATGGGAAACACAAAGGTGTCACAGCCTGAAACTGGCTATGTGTTTCCCAAGGATTAAAGTAGATGATGATATCACAGGATAGATACAGCAATGGTGGAGACTGAAGAGGAAATACGAAACTCTGGCAGTCTACTCCCAAATAGACTGCCAAATTGACACCTGCTCTAAGTCTTGAAATATTATCTAGTGGTAAACAGTTTTTTGACAAGAGGGGATCTTCTAGGCTTGAAGATAAACCAAGGCAAATGGCATGGGTTATAGTAATATCCATAACATTTTTAGTTTCCTGTTAGAATTTGCAAGTATACCCTTTCCTCCATACCACTGACCCTTTCAAAGTCCCTTGCAATTCCGCATGACAGAACTTCCTCCCTCCCTCCCTCCCCCTTCCTTCCTTCCCTTTTTTTTCTCTCTCCTTCTTTCTTCCTTTTTTCTTTCTTTCTTTCCTTTCTTTCTCTTTCTTTCTTTCCTTTTCTTCCTCCCTTCCTTCCTTTCTTTCTTTCTTTTCTTTCCTTCCTTCCTTCTTTCTTTTCTTTTTTTTTTTTTTTTCCTCCCCCCCCCCGCCCCTCCCACCCCTTTCTTTCCTC